CTCGCTGTGCGAAACTTTACAATTGTTCCCTCTATTTCTCAATCCACTTGAGTGGGAACAGTTTCTCCCTCCCACTATGGCAGGATCCCTCATGATTTTGAAAACTCGTATCAAATTTCTTCTTGGCCTTCTCATCTTCAAGGAAAAAAAGTCCCAACTTCTCCAAACTTTCCTCACAGCTGAAGTATTTTACATTAGACTGTAAGACGTAGGAGCAGCTGTAGGTCATTGACTCTGCTCCACTATTCAGTTCGATCACGGCTGATCAAATAATCCTCAACTCCACTTTCCTGCCTTTTTCCATAATCCTTGATTCCCTTTCTGATTTAAAAATCTGACTGCCTCAGCCTTTGATATACTTTATGACCCAGTCTCAACAGCTCTTTGCAGTAAAGCACTCTACAGATTCACTGCCCTCAGGAAACTTCTCCTCATCTTTGTCCTAACTGGGTAAGTCCTTACTTTGAGATTATGCCCTGGAACCAAGTCTCTTCTGCATACACTAGTGAAGTCACATCCTTCCTACAGTGTGATGTCTAGAAGTGTACATAGTACTTCTGAGGACTAACTGGTGTCTTAAATTCATCATAACCTCCCTGCTCTTCTACTCTATGCCTCTGTTTACAAAGCCCAGAATATTGTATGGTTTAATAGCTTTGTACCTGACCTGTCCCTGTTTATGATTAATCTACATACATGCCTGGGTGTCTGTGTTCCTGCATACTCTTTAGAGTAATAACCTTTTTTCATTTCATACTGTCTGTGTTCTTTGTACCAAAGTGCATCACCTCATACATCTGTGTTGAACTTCATTTGCCTACTCGTCTACTTAAAAATTTGTCCGTATCCTTTTTGAAGTTCTAAAGTGTTGCCTTCACAATTCTCCCAAATTTTGTGTTGTCCATAAAGTTTGAAATGGTTTCCTGTACACCTAGATCTGGATGATATATCATCAAGAAAAGCAGGGGTTCCAACAGCAAATACCCATCCAGATGCCTTTTAAATGTTGTAATTGTACCAGCCTCCATCACTTCTTCTGGCAGCTTGTTCCATGCATGCACCATCCTCTGTGTGAGCAAGATGCCGATTAGGTCCCTTTTAAATCTTTCCCTTCTCGTTTTAAGCTATACCCTCTAGTTTTGCACTTTCCTACCTTAGGAAAAACACGTTGGCTATTCACCCTGTCCATGCCCCTCAGATTTTGTAAAATTCTGTAAGGTCACCCCTAAGCCTCCAATGCTCCAGGGAAAATAGCCCCAGCCTATTCAGCCTCTCCCTGTAGCTCAAACACTGCAAGCCTGGCAACATCCTCGTAAATCTTTTCTGCACCCTTTCACCTTTAACAATATCTTTCCTATAGCAGGGAGACCAGAATTGAATGCAGTATTCCAAAAGTGGCCAAACCAATGTCCTGTACAGCTGCAGAAATGTCCTGATATCCCAACTCCTATACTTTCTTTCAACTTGAGCACCAGTCTCCTGATATTGCAGAGAACTTTGAAGAGCCATCTGAGACTGAACTTGATTGGCTCTATGCCATTAGGTTAACACAATATTATTTAGTTTTGCAGTGATTTGTTTACAAAATCGGGGATGTTAAGGATCAATCACATTGTAAATGGCCCTCTTCCTTGATGGTTGTTAGTTATCAGTTGTTTTCTTTTAATCATGTTCTCCAGTTTTCCTGTTTTTTTTTTTTGGTGTTTGCTCACAAATGACTACGTTTATTGGATTTAGTTCACAATTTTCCAGAATGGAAATCAACTCATGACCCCAGGAGACTAGCCTAGTAGGCTAATGATTGATTACAGTATACAAACTTGCGTTTACATGTAGCATTTTTTAAATGTTGTTGCAGCATTAAAATTTACATTCTTTCTATACTACCAATGATAAACTACTGTGAAATGATAAACTGTTCAGTTATCTTTTAAATATTGAACTTGATTGTTTGCTTAAGTGTGTTGTTATCCGTTAATACCTGTTTGGAAAAGGCTGAGTTCTTTCTTGGTAACCTATTTACTTAAACTCTAATAAGACTAATAATGAGATCTGAATGCTAGCACATGGATATCATTGAAAGATGGTGTTAGAAAGAGGCTGTTCAACCCATTGTATCTGTTAGTAAAACCATTCAATTAACCCCATTTCCCTGCTCCTTCCCCATTGGCCTGTATGAATTTTCCCTTTCCCAATTCTTCAGTGTGTCACTGTTGATTCTACTTCTACAATCCATTTAGGCAGTTCACTCCAGTCCACAAGAGCGCATTGTTCCAAAAAAAAAAATTGCCTTTCTTTTATTTTGCCAGTCACTTTGAATCTGTTTTCCTGCCACCAATCTCGTTGCCAGTCAAAACAAGTTCTTTTTATTTATTCTATCAAAATCATTCAGGATTTTGAACATGTCAATTAATACTGTGTAAACATAATTTTGTCTCTGTTACCTTTCTCTTTTCAATAGCAAGTAGCAAAAGTAATGCAAGAGTATACGAAAATCTTTCTGAAATTGATCCATTCCATTCTTGAAGCAAGAGGGATTGAGGAAGAAGCTGCTCATTATCTCAGTTCACATCATGGTGGATGTCCCACTTTCATATGCCATTAGAATTTGCAGAGCTAACACACCCTCAGCTGGGGTTGAATCCCATGGGAACAATTGCAGAATAAAAGAATGTGCTATTGAGTAGCTCGTTGAGAGTTTATAGCTTCTGTTCCTCAGGCTTGAATATCAGCTTCACTCCAGCTAAATTGACAGACTCCCATTAATCTGACTTTTTTCCCCCTCCTCTCTATGCCAGTTAACTCAGATTTACTAATTCTAGCTGAGGTGAGTCCATTCATGTGTTGCGGCCATAAATTCCAAAATAACCGATTATTGAAGAAGACTTGCATTTAGAAGCGAAACCGTTATTAAATTATTCATGTTTTAATCAACAGTTCCATTTTGAAGTCACGTGGCTAAAGGAGTGGTGCAAGAAAGAGGGGTTTCATTTTGTAGGGCACTGGCATCAGTATTGGGACAGAAAGGAGCTGTACTATTGGGAAGGACTCCACCTGAACCAACCTGGGACAAGGAGCCTTGTGGAAAGGCTAACTAGGGCGCTCATGAGGACTTTAAACTGGTTAAAGGAGTTGGGGGAGGCCTCAGCAGATGTTAAAGCTTCCAGAACAAGTAAAAGGACAAAGTACGGGAAGGATCAAGAATCTAACTTCGGGGACAACCATGAGAAGGGGGCAGTCAATGCAAGACTGAAGGTATTGTACTTGAATGTGTGCAGTGTACGAACAAGGTAAGTGAGCTTGTAGCGCAGATTGAAATGGCAAGTACAGTGTTGTGGGCATCAAAGAGACATGTCTGCAAGAGTATCAGGGCTGGGAAACCAGTATCCAAGTAGACATGACCTATCAAAAGGACAGCCAGATGGGCAGAAGGGACGGGTTGCCTTGTTAGTAAGCAATCAAATTGTATCGATAGCAAGAAGTGATATAGAGTTGGAAGATATAGAATCTCTGTGGGTAGAGTTGAGGAGCCATGAAGAAGAAAAGAACCTGATGGAAGTTGTGTACAGACCCCATAGCAGTTGTCAGGATGTGGAGCAGAAAATACGTCAGGGGATAGAAAAGGTATGTAAGATAGATACAATTACAGTAATTATGTGGGACTTCAATATGCAGGTGGACTGGGAACATCAGGTTGGTAGTGGAGAATCATGCAACTTGGAAACAGACCCAAAGTAAACAGTCCCACTTGCCTGTATTTGTCCCATATCCCTCTAAACCTTCCCTATTCATTTACCTGTCCGAATGTCTTTTAAATCTTGTAACTATACCTGCATCTACAACTTCCCCTGGCAGTTCATTTCTCATATGAGCCACCCTCTGTGAAAAAATTGTGCCTCTGGTCCCTTTTAAATCTTTCTTCTCTCACCTTAAAAATATGCCCCCCTTTTTGAACCCCCCCCCGCCAATCCTAGGGAAGAGACCTTTTGATATTCACCTTATCCATGCCTCATGATTTTATAAACCTCTAAGGTCACCCCTTGACCTCCTATGGTCCATTGAAAAAAGTTGCAGCCTATCCAGCCTCTCCTTATAAATCAAACCCTTCAGTCCCAGCAACATACTGGTAAATCATTTCTGAACTCTTGTCCAGTCTAATTCCTATAGCAGGAAAGAACTGTACACAGTAAGAAAAGGAATTCTTGGAATGTCTGAGATTTTTATTTATTTTTGAAGCAGCTTATGGTAGCGCCCATTAGGGAACAAGTAGTTTTGTGTGATGAGGCTGACTTTATTAGGGAGCTTAAGGCAAAGGAACCCTTAGATGGCAGTGACCACAATATGATAGCATTCACCCTGCAGTTTGAGAGGGAGAAGCTGGAATTGGATGTAACAGTATTATAATTCAGTAAAGGTAACCACAAAGATATGAGGGAGGACATGGCCAAAGTTGGTTGGAAGGGGAGCCTAGCAGTGAAGATGGTGGAGCAGCAACGGCAGGAGTTTCTGGGGGTAATTTGGGAGGCACAGCAGAAATTCAACTCCAGGAAGAAGAAACATACTCAGGGGAGGATGAGGAAACCACGCTGACCAGGGAAGTCAGCGACAGCAGCATAGAAACAAAAGAAAAAGCTTACAATGTATTGAAGGTTAGTGGGAAGCCAGAGGATTTGGTAGGCTTTAAAAAAATGCTGCAGAGGGCAACAAAAAATGCAGTAAGTTGTGGGGAGTAAATGAAATATGATAAACTAGCTACCAATATAAAAGAATATTGCAAAAGTATTTTTTAGATAAATGAGGTGAGAAGTTGAGAATGGACATTTGACTGCTGCATAAGTAGTAATGGGGAACAAAGAAATAGTGGAGGAACTGCATGTGTACTTTGCATCAGTTTTCACAGTGGAGGACACCAACTACATGCAAGCACTTCAAGAGAGACGGGGGAAGAGGTGAATGCAGTGACCATCACTAAGGAGAAGATGCTGGGAAAGCTGACAGGTCTAAAGTTGGATAAATCACCAGGACCGGTTGGACTACACCCCAGATATCTGAAGGACATAGTTGATGAGATTGTGGCGGCATTGGTGGGTGATCTTTCAGGAATCACTGAAATTGGGGTAAGTCCCAGAGGACTGGAAAATGGTTAAATAGGTGGGTTAGCCTGACCTTGATCGTTGGTTAGATTTTCAGTCCATTATTAAGGATGATATTTCTGAGTACTTCCAATGTGCGTGGTAAAATAGGGCTGAGTCAGCATGCCTTCGTCAAGGGGAGGTGATGTCTGACAAATCTGTTAGAATTCTTTGTGGAGATGTTAAGCAAGTTAGACAAAGGGTGTAATGTATTTGGATTCTAGAGGGCCTTTAGTAAGGTGCTGCACAGGACGCTGCAAAATAAGACAAGAGCCCATGGTGGTAGGGGCAAGGTCCTGTCTTGGATAGAGGATTGGCTGACTGACAGAAGGCAGAGAGCAGTGACAAAGGTGTCTTGTTCAGGATGGCAGCTGGTGATTAGTGGAGTTCTGCAGAAGTCAGTGTTAGGACCACAACTATTCACGTTATACATTAATAGTGTAGGTGAAGGAATTGAGGGCATTGTTGCTAGGTTTGCAGATGACACAAAGATCAGAAAGACTGGAAGGACAGGAGATATTGAAGTGCGCAGGCTGCAGAAGGACTTGGACAGGCTGAGAGAGTAGGCAAAGAAGTGGCAGATGGATAACAACGTGGGAATGTATCAGGTTATGCACTTTGACAGGAAGAATAGAGGTGTAGACTATTTTCTAAATGAGGAAAGGCTTTAAAAATCTGAAGCGCAAAGGGACTTGGGAGTCCTAGTTTGGGATTCCCCAAGGTTAACATACATTTGGCAGTTAAGAAGGCAAATGCAATGTTAGCATTCGTTTCAAGAAGGTTAGAATACAAGAGCAGAGATGTACTGCTGAGGATGTATAAGGCTCTGGTCAGACCACATTTGGAATACTGTGAACAGTTTTGTGCCCTGTATGCCAGGAAGGATGTGCTGGCCTTGGAGGGGATCTACTTCTAGACAGTAGAAATCTCAACTTTGGAAGGTGCTGTCAGAGGAACCTTAGTGAATTATTGCACTGTATCTTGTATTTGGTACACATTGACTCCCTTCACTGCCAAAGAGCAGTGGAAGTGGTGGATGGGGTGCCAATCAAAGGGCGGTTTTGCCTTGGATGGTGTCAAGCTTCTGAAGTATTGTTAGAGATGCACCCATCCAGGCAAATGGAGAGTATTCCTTTACACTTTTGACTTGTCTCATAGATGGTGGATGGGCACTGGGCACAGAGGAGGTGAATTACTTTTCATAGGATATCTGGAATCTAACCTGATCTTGGAGGCACATATTTATATGGCTGGTTGAGTTCAGTTTCTAGTCGGTGGAAGTTGCAGATTCAGTGAACACCATCGAAATTTGAGTAGACCCTCCTGCTGGAGATGGTCATTACCTGGCACTTATATGAAGCAAATTTTACTTGCCATTTGTCGGGCCAAACCTGAAGTTTATCCTGACCATGCTGCCTGTGGTCACAGACTGCTTTACTATTTGAGGAGTTGTGAATGGGACTGAACGTTGTGTGATCATCAGTGAATATCTCCGCGTCTGATTTTGTTTTGGAAGGAAGGCCATTGTTGAAGCCACTGAAGACTGTTAAAGTGAGGACGTTATGTTGAGGGACTCCTGTAGAGATGACTAACCTCCATTAATCACAACCAGCTTCCTTTGTACCAATCATTAGAAAGCTTTCCCTGGATTCCCAATTAACATGAGTTTTGCTGGGGCTTCTTGACGCCACATTTGGTTAAATGCTGCCATGGTGTTAAGGGCAGTCTCTCTTGCTTTGCCTCTGGATGGTGAGTACTCCAGTTGCCGGAGTGACATTGGAGCTGTGTAGATTGGAATGGTGCACAATCCCTGAGGCAGCTGCCTACATGGGAATTGTCCCAGAAGTTGAATTTTCCAATGGGCAATTCTCTTGAATTGGAAACAGTTTTGGGTGGTGTGGGGGAGAGGGGAAAAGGAAAGAGATGAGGATGAATTTCTTCAGCCAGAGAGTGGTGAATCTGTGGAACTCATTGCTACACGTGCCAAGTGATTTAATGTATTTTTAACACTGAGACAAATGGGTTCTTGATTAGTAAGGGGGCCAAGGATCACAGCCTGAAGGTAGGAGAATGGTGTTGCGAAACATATCAGCCATGATCAAATGATGGAGCAGACTTGATGGCCTGATTCTTTTCCTATATCTTATGGTCTTAAAGTCAAAGAATTTGGAGGGTTATGACTCATTTGAGCTTAATAGTTATCCAGGAAATGTTTGAGGATTAAGAAAGTGCTCTAACTCCTGAGTAACTATTAAACTGAACCCTTTTCTCAGTGCTGTCCCTTCTGCTGTGCGAACCTTGACGTGACCCCTCTAGACTGAACACTGATTAGCACTGACCCTGTCTGAATTGACCCCAACTTCCCCTAGTGTGTGAAGTACTACCTACCTGACACACTGCCTCTTTACCTGCCCAACCTCACTTGTCTGAGTCACTGTCAATATGGTTTTGGAATTTTTGACTCCTGAAATAATGGCAGCAAGTGTCATTTTAAAAAAAAAAGTGTGTCACAGCCTGTAGTGCTACTTCTGTGTGGAGTGGATTTCTCCCTGGTTTTCTCTGATGGAAACATTCAGGACGGGACAGAATCAAAACATTGACCAGGGAAAGCATCGACAGGCAAGTGGGTAATTTAAAGAGGATTATTGTCTGTCAAATCTGTTCCAAGATTGATCAAACTATTCAGGCCCTTGCTCAGAATCTGTAAGTGTGAAGGAGAAATGTATTTGGGTTTTAGACATGAAATAGTCATTTGAAACAAGATACATTATAACAATGTCATAACCAATTCTTGTCCATGAATTGGGTTTGATCTTGAACCCAATTTTCGGGAGAGATCTAAATTTATGTTGTGCTTGTTTTCACTTGCAATCACAAAAGGCTGTTATGATTTTGTAAATTTGCTTTCATATATGTGCTTCTGAAATTTGGAATTCCTGTCTCCAACCTCATTGCTTGAATAGATTTAATTATTAGCAGTGGCTTCTTTTGGTTCAGCTTCACGGAAATAACTTGGTTCAAGGTGTTTTCCTGATGAGTATCAAAGTGAGTTGCATTTCTATCCCCTGAAATATAAGCTGATTCTCATTTTAAATATGGAGTACAGTTGCTTTGGAAGAACGAGCTGGGTGGAATTACTAATAAGAAGGCTCAAGAGGGCTTGAATATATCATTGGTGATCAATAATTCAGGGAGCTTTATATTGCATTTGTATAGTGTTGGTGATTAATTTCTCCACAGTTCTAAACTCAGCAGCTGCTGTGACTTCAGGTAACCTAGTGATCAAGCTTCATCACAAAAAAAAATTATCCTATTCAAAATTATATTTAAAAAAGCAGCTAAATTGATCATTGTTGGTACTTAATTTATTTTTTCTTAACACCAGCCTTTAGATGGGATTTCATAATATGAAATCCCAAAACAGTAAGTTTGCATAAAATTATTTCTTGTTATCAAGACCATTAACTTTTGTCTGGCTTGTATCTTTTTCTGTTGACTTCTGCAGGAGAGGTCACATTTTCATGTGACCGTATTGGATGCTGGACTAATCAGTGCTGACATTTAACCCTGTGGCTATGTACAAGTCTCTCTTTGTTTAAAAAATTTACTCTGCTTTCCTTCAGTGAGTTTGATTGATAACATACAGTAATACAATTCAATGTTCAAGAATTAGAAAAGAGACACTATCACTTTTTGATTGTCTTGTCCTTGGCTTTAGTGCGCATAAGTTGTATGAAAATACTAATTTTAATGAAGCAGGTACAGAAGTAGTTAATAATAACACTGATTTCTTTCGGGTGAATGTTCTCAGGCCCTGAACAACATGGACTAAGATGAGAAATTGGGGAAAATTAGGTGAGGTGTTATGTCTCACTGGGGTAGTGCACTGGAAATCAAGCCTCACTATTCCTGGAGCTGCCACAAAAGCTAAAGATTTAATAGAAGGGAGGTGATGGCCTAATGGTATTTTCACTGGACTGTTCTACTAAACAACCAGATAATGTTCTGGGGACCCAAGCTTGAACCCCAATTTTAATTCAATAAAAAAAATCTGGAATCAAGAGATTAATGATGACCATGAATCTATTGTACATCGTTGGAAATACTCATCTGGTTCACTAATGTCCTTTGGAAAAGGAAACGGCCATCCTTGTCTGCTCTGGACTGCATGTGACTGTAGACCCACAGCAATGTGGTTGTCTTTTAACAACTCTCTAGGCAATTAGGGACGGGCAATAATTGCTAGCCTGGCCAGCGATGTCCTCATCCCTTGAATGAATATTAAACAAAAGTGCACAAATTTCCTGATTTTACCTGTCTTTTAGACCAATGTTGACAGAAAGCACTGGCTGGTTTTCTGTGCTTAATAAGAATTACTGTTTATTACAGGTAATTGTTTACTTGTAGCCAGAATCTACTTATGAATCATTGATATCTAACTCCACTGGTTAAAACTCTAACTTCCTTTATAAAAACCCCTGCTACAAACTGGAGATAACACTCTGTCCCTCCTTGCATAAATGCAAAGCAGACTGGGAAAGCAGGATATACAGGACTGTCCACATGGTTCACTGAGGCTATTCTTTTTGGCTTGTCAGGACTAGCTGTTCCTCAACTTTCCTTCTCCAGGTACTTTTGCTTGTAGAAGGCAGAGTGCACCTGGTTCACACTTTTTATAAAAGTCTGATGTCTTGGTTAAAAGCCACAATTTACAGCAATTGATGAGGGAAATGAACTAGCTTTCTTCAGGCTTGAGGTGTTTTTCTTGACTGCACAGAGAGGACAGCTTCATCCTTTGCAGAAGTTCAATGGTATCTGCCCAAATCTGCATACCCACAAACTGTTCTGCTACCTGGGAGCAAGTCACATTGTTGTAGGCAGGCAGAGGTCTTTGCCGTGAACAAGTGGTAACCATTTCCATAACAATTAGCTACTTGTTGCTGGCTGAATCTCCATTTGTACCCATCTGTAGGCACCAGCCTGCC